TCCACAATGGACAACATTCTCATGAGCCCACTTAGCGGATGCACATGTAAGTTCATTCCATAGACAACCATTCTGTCTTAACCATTGGAGCATTTCCAGATGTCCATTTTGAGCAGCACATGCACTTGTCCATTGATACCATCGGAATCCTTTTTGTCGTGCCCACTGCATGATCGTAATATTGCCAACTGTGGCAATGGCATTGCAAACATGATGACGATCAGGTTTCTTATTTCTGGAATTGTCCTTGAGCCAGTATTCTGCACGTGGCTGGTTACAGAATGTTTCACTGCAAAGAGTGTCCGTGCTTTCCGCAGAGCGCCTGAGAGAATCGCATTCGCAGCTAGCAGGTTTATCGTTTACCTTTCTTGGATTTTTGTTGAGTTCAATTTTGCAGTACTCTTTGTACAGTTGATTCATCTTTTTGTTGACAGCTCCTACAAAAGCATACTGTCCAACACCAACAAAAGGAAAAATGCCTTCAATCAAAATCAAATCGTCAGCAAACAGAAGAGAATCAAAGGGAGGAGACATCTTCTGTTTCTTACTATTGGCAGCAGCAGCTCTTGCAGCTGATCTAATGCGAGCATCAGAAGACATGGTCAACAATGAGATCGATATAAGTAGTAGGCTCGATCGTTGGCTGGCTATCTATGTTAGACAAAAATAATGCGGTTGCCACCATAGCCCCTCCAAGTGATTAGGGCAGGAAGGTTCGGTCTGAGGCCAACCTGGATCTTTTGACGCACCGTTGGCCATCAAAAGATCACAAGTGACGAGTTTGCTCTCCAGTCAGTGCATCACAGCCAGTGCTTTACTCGCCGCGGCGAGTAAAGCACTGAGTGCATGACAGCCAGTGCTTTACTCGATGCTACTGATGCTGTCATTGGTGGTCTATTAAAAAAAAGCTTTGAAGTAGTGTTACTACTAGTAATCCCTGTCTCAAATCAACAGAGAAGGCTGCTGGTACAGGATGAGTAACCGAGGACTGGTGACGGAAACTGCGTTTTGTAGGCGCGGGGACTGTGTCAGGATCGGTGAAAATGAAGTCAAAGTGGTTGGAACTGAGACCATAGTCTATGCCAACAAGAAGCCACTATAGCTGATGAAAATGGAGGGGATGCATGGACGACAACAATAAGCTCAGATAAGGGCTGCATACACAGAGATACAGGAACTGCCTGATGGAATTAATCATGCGATGAAGAATCGGCTGGAGCTGTTGTCCCAGCCTGAAGCTGTGGCCCCAGCCTGAAGCTGTGGTCCAGCCTGAAGCTGTGTCCCAGCCTGAAGCTGTTGTCCCAGCCTGAAGCTGTTGTCCCAGCCTGAGATTTTGTCCCAGCCTGAAGCTGTGGTCCCAGCCTGAAGCCGTTGTCCCAGCCTGAAGATTTCGTCCCAGCCTGAAGCTGTTGTCCCAGCCTGAAGATTCCGTCCCAGCCTGGAGCTTTTGCAGACAATTTTTCGTTGACGATTTTTGTATCCTGCGCACCACACCGTACGAATTAAAAGCTTCAAAGATCCTGCATTCAAGAAATGCGATATTTATTATCTTACTAGTCTAGTTACATCTATCGTACGAAAGAGGGCAAATCGTCTCAACAATGGTCAACAAACACCTCGAATCGTTCGTTCGATTGGCCGATTGATAAAGCACTCACCATTGTTGTCGGCCAAGCTTGGATTTACCTCCTGTTTACCATAGGAATTGAATGACGGAGAGAAGTCAGTGCTGCGCCTTCAATAATAACACGCTTGATAATAGACTTACCCGTAATAGTAGTAGTAGTAGCGATCGGCCGCTCCTTCTCCACCATTGTGTTGCTATTGTTGTGTTGCTCTTGTTGTTGGTTGAGCGTCGAGTGAGGAGTGAGGCTGCTTTCATAGTACCACGGTCCTAGCTACCTGTAGCAAGTCAATAAAATCAATCAAATAAATGGTTCCACGGGAAGTGAAACGTCCGAGCTACACCATTCTGTACCGGTACAGTGGCTCAGTATGTGGCAAGCCAATCTACTACTACTCGAGTACTAGCTAGTATACTACAGTAGGACTGTACCCCATTCGTTACTGGAGAAACCTTACTGTACATATTTTGTGAGTGCTTCTCCGGTGTTCTTTTTATGGAGTTCTTTGAAGGCTATATACATTTCAAACCATGTCCACAAGTGATGGTTTGATGTGAGAAGAAAGGTTTTACTACACTCTATCCTTACCAATTACTAGTGTATGCTTTAACCCACCAAAAACACTTCAAGAAGGCCTCATAATTGCAGAATCAGCTTTTGTACTCTTTGCCCCTATTCAAAAGAGCCAAAGTAAATTGCACGAGCCACCCCCAGACCCCCTTCTATGTTTAAATCGTGAGGAGACCTCACGAATTTGGGGTGGAGATGCTGATAACCACAAAGAAGTGGTGGCGCAGCTGTTGCGGTTGACGCCGGATCGCTGCTGCTGCAAATACAGTACAGCATTCGTGACGTCATGGGTGTGGGTCCGATTGAATCTTTCGATTGTACCGACTTCGATTCTGCAAAAAGATCTTTGGCGATCTTTTGTTGATTTGGTAGACTATTTTAAAATACGTCATCCTCATTTATTCGTGTTCTCGAGATCTCGTCATTTCTTCCACCTTCATTAATGCATTTCAATGTCAACAGATCCACAGTTTCATTTTGGACTTACTGACTGACTGACTGCTTAGATAGATGTCCTCAGTTGTCGTCATCAGTAGAGTATCCTCTCTACTACATCTTGCACTGTTCTCGCTACTATTATTATCTCTGTGTGTCTCTTCTACTAGTAGCATGTCTCTCTCCGCCGCCGCCGCTAGCAATCGTCCGTACGATTTGATCATCTACGGCGCCACTGGCTTTACGGGTCAATTGGCAGCAGAGTATGTGCAAAAGCACTATCCCACGCTCAAGTTTGCCTTGGCCGGTCGGAATCGCAGCAAATTGGAAGTCGTCCGCAAGCAAATCACTACAGGAAGCAGCAGCAATAACGAAAAGGAAATTCCCTTGTTGGTCGCCGACGCCGTGCAAGATCCCAAAGCCCTGGACGAATTAGCCCAATCCACAAAGGTGATTGCCAATTACGCCGGAAGCCCCTTTGTCGACAAGGCATTGCCCGTCGTCGAAGCATGTGCCAAACACGGAACCTGTTATACCGATATTACCGGAGAACCCAATTTTCAACGTCTCTCTTACGATCGCTACCACAAACAAGCGAAGGAAACCGGAGCGCTTATCGTCCACGCCTGTGGCTACGACTCGATTCCTTCGGATATTGGAGCCATGTTGGCGGCCGATGCCATGAAAGAACGTCATGGTTGTACCTGCAAATCGCTCGAATTGGTATCTCGAGGATCCAAAGGAGGCGCTTCCGGTGGTACCATTCACACCGGATTGTCCATGATTTTTGGGGGCAAGACGGTTCCCGGCATGAACGAAGTCAAAGCCCGAGGCGCCTACGGATTGGACCCCGAAGGAGCCACGGGAGGTCCCGATACATCCGATACCGTTTCCTTTGTCACATACGATAGTGTGGCACGCACGTATGTCATTCCCTTTATCATGGCCGGTGCCAATGCTCCCGTCGTGCGCAAAACCAATGCTCTTTGGGGATATCGATACGGCAAGCAGTGCACGTACCGCGAAGTCCAGGCCGTGCCCAGTTTGATTTCTGGCTTGGCTGGAATGGTTGGATTCGGACTGTTTGGAGTTCTCTTGGCGTTTCCACCCACTCGGTGGCTATTGACCAATTACGTCCTACCCAAACCGGGAGAAGGACCCAGCCAACAAGCGCGCGACACCGGATTCTTTTCCTCCAAAATCTATGCCGTGGGAGAACAGGACCAACTGGTCGTGGCGTATGTCAAGAGTGGCACGGCCGGAGATCCCGGATACAAAGCCACGGCGCAAATGAGTATCGAAGCCAGTCTCGCCATGGCACTCGAACGAGAAAAATGCGCCACCCAAGGAGGAGTTCTCACCACGGCCACGGCATTGGGCATGACACTGGTCGACAGACTCAACAAGACGGGTATGCAGTTGGGAGTGGAGGAATAAGAATAGGATGCTCCGGCTCCAAAGTAGTCATCTTTAAAAATAATACTAAAATGTATGTTTTCATGTTGCAAAAATTTGGGGATGGTCTCTGTTGCGCTTGGAGGCACGAGCTGTAGTTAGACTACCGGTACCATATTAGGCGACGGCACTGTGACTTTGGAAGCGCCAATACCGGTACCGGTAGCCCATATCAGTTGGCCAAAGTACATGTTTCCGTGCATGCCAAAGCAGACGCTGTCCGCTTGGATTTTGATTATAGCTTTCGCTGGCTTCGTTAACCCGATCCATACCCATGCACGGACCACCTCAATGGCAACCGGCATGGCACTAGCTATTACGATACCATGTCAGAAAAGATCATCTATCATAATATATCATCATCTCCATCCTATGGTAGCTATAGCATCATCGCATATCATCTCATCACTCCACCTCTACTACTGCAACTGAGACTGCTGAGTCAGTTCCTCCCGTTGGTAGCATCGTGTCTTCTGATAGTACTGCTGGTTCTGTCGCTGGTGCTGGTGCCAAGAGCAGAAGTGCACTCAACAATAAGAAACAGAAAATGTCTCCTCCCTTTGATTCTCTTCTGTTTGCTGACGATTTGATTTTGATTGAAGGCATTTTTCCCTTTGTTGGTGTTGGACAGTATGCTTTTGTAGGAGCTGTCAACAAAAAGATGAATCAACTGTACAAAGAGTACTGCAAAATTGAACTCAACAAAAATCCAAGAAAGGTAAACGATAAACCTGCTAGCTGCGAATGGGATTCTCTCAGGCGCTCTGCGGAAAGCACGGACACTCTTTGCAGTGAAACATTCTGTAACCAGCCACGTGCAGAATACTGGCTCAAGGACAATTCCAGAAATAAGAAACCTGATCGTCATCATGTTTGCACTGCCATTGCCAAAATTGGAAATCTTGCTGTCATGCAGTGGGCACGACAGAAAGGATTCCCATGGAATCAATGGACATGTTTCTATGCTGCACTATATGGACACTTGGAATTGCTCCAATGGTTAAGACAGAATGGTTGTCCATGGAATGAACTTACATGTGCATCCGCTGCTGCAAAAGGCCATTTGGAAATTTTGAAGTGGGCTCGTGAAAATGGATGTCCGTGGAATGAGCAGACATGTTACAATGCTGCTAAAAATGGCCATTTGGAAATTCTGCCAATGGTTAAGAGAGAATGGGTGTCCATGGGATTGCAGATACATGTGTATACGCTGCTGCATGTGGACATTTGGAAATTTTGAATTTGGGCTCGTGCAAATGGTTGTCCATGGGATATTTGGACATGTTCTAGTGCTGCTGGAAATGGCCATTTGGAGATTTTGAAGTGGGCTAATGAAAATGGTTGTCCATGGAATGAGCAGACATGTGGCGGTGCTGCCTACAAAATGGCCATTTTGAAATTCTAAAGTGGTTGCACGCACATGGTTGTCCATGGAATGAGGCGACATGTGAGTACGCTGCTGACGGTGGTCATTTGGAAATTTTAAAGTGGGCTCGTGAAAACGGTTGTCCATGCATGCATATAATGTCGGCTGCTGCTAAAAATGGGCATTTGGAAATTCTAAAGTGGGGCTCATGAAAATGGTTGTCCGTGGAATGAACGGACTTGTCAAGAGGCTTTGCTGGAAATGGCCATTTGGAGTGATTTTGAAGTGGGCTAATGAAAATGGTTGTCCATGGAATGGAGAGGACATGTGCCAGGTGCTGCTGGAAAAATGGCCATTTTGAAATTCTAAAGATTGCTCATGAAAATGGTTGTCCGGGATGGATACTTGGGTGCAGCATGCTGGGTGGTTGGGCATTTTTGAATTTGAAAATGGCTCGTGAAACGGCTGCTCTTAGGATCGCAAGATACATTCTCGCTGCTCGCTGAAAATGGCTTTGGAAATGTTTCGAAGTGGCTTCATGAGATATGGATTGTCAGTGGAATGTAAGTGACATGCTGAGGCTGCTGCTGAAAAATGGTACATTTGTGAAATTTGAAGTAATGGGCTAGTGCAAATACGGGTTGTCCATTGATGAATTAGCAGTCATTTGCTGCCTGCCATGAAATCGGACATTTGGAAATTCTTGAAGTGTGCTCGTGAAAACTGGTTCGTCCCATGGATGCATCAACATATCGAGTTGCCTGCAATGAACCACAGTGAAGTGATCGCAGTGGCTACGTGACAATGGCATGCCCGGGTCTCATGAGTAAGGAAACTAACATTGTATGTTTATGTTGAGATTAGAAATTTAATCAAAAGTAGACAATTAGAACTCAGTGTTTTGCCGACTAATACCTTTTAGCCATCTATTGGCTTTGTGTGATCTGGTTTTATGAGCATGGAATCCCAGTTATTGCTGCTGATTATGACATTGTGTACCTCTACTAGAATACAAGTCTAGCGCAGCGGGAGGGAGCTTGCAAGCCGAAATCCAGAGGGATGGGAATGACTTGGATGTTTGGCTTCTGCAGATAACTTCCCTGTGCTACTAGCTAGCTAGTAGGAATGGAGTACACGTAGCCACACTCCACTGACTACCGTATGACCATAGCTATGTCCAGAGAGTCTTCTGACAAGGCCAAGCGTGAAGTGGAAGCGGAGGTTGTCTCCGACCAATACCCCCGTGTAATTATTCAGTAATGCTGCCTTCTTTGAAGTACGTCAGCCTGCTTCATTTTTCCGACACCTCCACCCCTTCAGCAGAACTCAATTTTTCAATAGCGGACTTTGCATCTGTTCGACCCCACCACCAACCACCTGCATACCGGTAGCATGACGATGAGCTATCTACTAGCAGTAAATGTCTATGTTTACATGTTAGTAGGCTGTTGGTTTCAATGCCAGAAGTTCCCCGTTGCCGCCTTTTCTACAAACGCTTTTGTCACTTCCAGCACAAGAACAGTCGAAAGAGTCCAATTTTTGGAACCATTGTGTGCTGAAAAGAAGAAAAAAGAAGATGAGGACGTTTGATGTGGGACCGAGAGGAGGAACGAGCCCGGCTTTTGGAAATGGGCGGGGATCCATCCTTTCTCATGGACGAAGCGTCCGCGTTGGAAGCGGTAGGAGGAGATCCCTTCTTTTTACCCCATAATACTATCGACGAACCACAACTACCAAGCAATAATAATGACAATGACAATATCGACGAGGACAAGGAGGACAACACGAAACAAGATTGGTTCGACATTGGACGGCAAATGGCCAAGCAGCTGCTGGAGGAGGATCAAGAAGACGAAGAAAAGGATTACCACGGAACCAGTGGAATTGCTAGAAGAAGAAAAGAGTTCAGGAGACTCCGATCCTATAAGGCCAATAATAACGACAGAGCTGGAACAAGCCCAATCGTTGGCTCTGGAAGCTTCTCAGACATTGGTACAAACCTCGGAGGCCCTGTGTCAATCCAACAACAAGCACTCTCCCAAGTACAAGACAATATCCAAAAACTGCAAGAACAGCTGCTACTCTTGCAAGAGCAACAAACCAATCTACAATCGGAACTTGCTACCGCTCAGGAGGCTCACGAACAATCCATCCAAAGCCAAAACGCCATGCTGCAGGCATTCGGTGGTGCCAGTGCAGCAACAGCAACCGACACTCCCAGCACCAAAAGCAAAGAGCCGTATTACTCGGCGCTCGAAGGAGACACATTCGACAATCAACGCGACGAGTTGGAAGCATTGGGTGGGGATCCGTTCTTTTTGGTTGATTCCGACGATGATACGGAGGATATCCAAGCACTCGAATCCGAAACAAAAAAATTGGACGACACCCAGAAACAGCCTAACAAGGCTTTGCTCAAGTCGAAACTCACCAACGAACCACAGGAAACGGAATCCTTGACTGACGAGGAGGAGTTGCTAGAGGTCGGTGGTGATCCAGCCTTCCTGGATAGTTATGATGAAACGGATTCCAAAGCATACAACATGGAACTCATGCGAGATGAAGTTCTAGAGTTGGGTGGGGATCCATTCTTTTTGGAGGCTCCAAAGGACAATGCGATCGATACGGAGGTTGCCCCCAACGATGCTCTGGAGCCCATGGCGTCATCGTCCGATAACAAGGATAGGGATCCCTCCTTTCTGCTCAATCTGGTACAAAAACAACAGAAAACGCAACAAAAACAGGAGGAGAAGACGGAGGAGATTCAAGCCACATCAGTAGCACTCGAGATTAAAACAAAGGTGGACGACAGCACACAGAAGCCCAGGGGTTTACAAAAGTCCAAACTCACCAACGAACCACAGGAAAAGGAATCCTTCACCGATGAGGAGCAACTGCTAGAGGTCGGAGGTGATCCGGCCTTTCTGGATAGCTACGACGCAACCAATGATGATTCCAAAGCCTACGACATGGAACTCAGGCGAGAAGAGATTCTAGAATTGGGTGGGGATCCCTCGTTCTTGTAGGTACAGTACCAGAATACTACAGCCAAGCAAACAATACTTAGTACAGGTCATATGACGGAAGCTACGAATATCGAATCGAACGACCAAAGCACACTTTCTTTCGTTCCCTCCCGAGCCAAACTTATTGGGAAACAATTAAACTGGATTGCTAGCTAGAGCATACACTACATAGCTGCCGAATAATTCAGAACTCTAGCAGGGGCCCCTCTTTCACAAACAACTTGTATCATCCGTATTGATACATCAACTCAGCAATCCTCATCTCGTGGAAGTCGGTTTGGCAGCAAAAGCTACACTGCCCCAAACTGTGCTATCAATAGGTACGACAGTCTCGTGTCTGCAGGATCAGCACACAACGCAGGGAAGCACCAAACTAACACCACATGGGCAGTTCTCTTCGGTCTCTCTGGAGCTCCTAGCTAGCCTCAAGCGATCTTGCAGAGCAAAGGTGTCAATGGCAAGGACCTAGACTCTTTTAGTATGATTAAAACGGAGCAGAGTCTGGCTGGCTAGACAGCTAGCTAGTGGTTGACCAGCCTGATGGTTTGTCAACATGTTTCGTACGGACGGGCCCTTTTATCTTCAATAGATGATGATGATATATTAGTGTCTCTCATCACGAGACCCGGGGCAGCCATTGTCACGTAGCCACTGGATCACTTCACTGTGGTTCTTCCCGCAGGCAACTCGATATGTTGATGCATTCCAGGGACAACCAGTTGCACGAGCCCATTTCAAAATTTCCAAATGTCCACCTGCAGCAGCATACCAGCATATATCTGCATTCCATGGACAACCATTTGCACGAGCCCACTTCAAAATTTCCAAATGACCACCTTGAGCAGCAGCCTCACATGTCCTTGCATTCCATGGACATCCATTTTCACGAGCCCGCTTTAGAATTTCCAAGTGGTCATTTCCAGCAGCAGCCCCACATGTGTGATCATTCCATGGACAACCAATTGCACGAGCCCATTCTAGGATTTCCAAATGACCATTGCCAGCACCATAGGCACATGTGTGATAATCCCATGGACAACCATTTGCACGAGCCCACTTTACAATTTCCAAATGGCCATTTCCAGCAGCATAGGCACATGTCCCTCCATTCCATGGACAACCATTCTCTCTTAACCATTGGAGCATTTCCATGTGTCCATTTCTAGCTGCTCCAGCACATGTCCGCTCACTCCAATCAAATCCTTGTTGCCATGCCCATTTCATGACCATCATATCTCCAATTTTGGCAATGGCAGCACAAACATTATGACGATGAGGCATCTTATTGCTGGAATTGTCCTTGAGCCAGTATTCTGCACGTGGCTGATTGCAGAATGTTTCGCAGCAAAAAGTGTCGGTGCTTTCCGAAGAGCGACTGCGAGCATACCCTCCAGGGTCAGTCTTAACCTTGCTTGGATTCTTGTTGAGTTCAATTTTGCAGTACTCTTTGTACAGTTGATTCATCTTCTTGTTGACTGATCCAATAAAGGCATACTGTCCAACGCCAACATAAGGTAGAATGCCTTGGATCGAAAGGTGGTGATTGTCAGCCAACAGAAGAAATTCGAAGGGAGGAGACATCTTCAGTTTTTTATTGTTGGGTGCACTGTTGCTATTGGCAGCAGCACCAGCATCAGCACATGTACTAGCCACAGTACCCGTACGAGTACCAGCATCAATATTATCAGAAGACAGGATCGGATTGGCTCTAGCTAGCAGTATTACTATGAAATGTAAGGCTATTTTAGCACATGTAGACCATTCGGGATAAGCAAATTGGTTGTGCATGGTGTACGTAGACAATAGCTAGCGTGGGTGGTGGCGATTGTTGCATGCTTCGAATGCTGCTTGGTTTCGCCCCTGACCTTCCCCCTTTTAATATCTTACCTCGGTTGGGTTTTAAACTTTCCCGGCTGAGGGGGCCAACTCTCTCCGCCCCAATGTTTGTGGGGGTTATCGGTTTAGGGTAGCGGCGGTGGACAGTCGTACTCAGAGTAGCCATAAAATAGAATTCTATTACCATTCTTGGTTTCGCCCCACCCTACCCTGAAATTTTTTAAAACTAGTACTATACAGGTTGAGCCCCTGCAGGGGCTCAACCTTTATAGTACTAGTTTTGGGGCCCAACTGCACTACGCTAAAAGCTAGTGTAAAGATCTTTCGAGTGTTTTGAGTTTGAGAGAATGAAAGTTATGAGAGAGATTAGAAAGCTATGAAAACTAATCAACGAGAGAGATCATCATCAAGGGATCGTAGATCTGGCTTCCCGCGGGAGACTATAAAGTGTGATAGAGTAGGTTGCGGTAGTAATCCTACGTCTCTCCACAATCCTAAAACGGAACGCGTGGAAGGTTCGTCTAGCCTGGATCTAGTAGCGTGGAAGTACTCCACGCTGGCTAAATATTTAGAGCGATGTTTCATCATCAACCTAGTATGACTAGAGTAGGAATTGCCCTTCATTCGGCTTGGTTACTGGATCCTGCTTTATATGAGTAAACATCTTTGTTCAGGGTGGGGAGAGGGGGGGTTGAGGGGGAACTAGATATATAAACCGATCCTTTTTAAATACCAATGACCCAGACATGCTTCAGTTATGCATGGGTCCACCACACGATTGTGAACAACGAGGGTGGTAGGTTTGTTAAACGGGCCGTATGGATCATTGAGCATGCTTTAACAGATTTGTAATTATGTTTCATGGGGAACCCGAAGCTTCGGTCATAATCCGCAACCTCCCTATCACGATTTGTATCGTAGGGTCGACTTTCGACTTTAATCGATAACCTACACTTGTAGATTGGATCCTACCTTCAGGTGCGCTCCTCAATGTCTAGGTCGAGCGTGCTCTTCAAACCATACGTTAACTTGATTCGCTGTTCAAAACATCAAGTGCCAAGACGACTCGTGAATGGATCCTGGGATGGAGTCCTCACGGCGGTTCCGCTTTGCCATGAATGCCCACATTCATACCACCTTGCGGCAACGCCTGCGCAGCTCGTGTCATATCGTGACGCGATTCACAACTGTCGGTTCGAAGCCAACGGAAGTACATTAAGAACGTCGCCAACGGACTAATCCAACAAAACAACGACAGGGAAAAAGCGACGCGTGTCCCTCATCAATAAATGTCAATGATACCTGATGATTCAACAGTATCAGCACCGCAAGTACGGTCAGCCAAAGACAAAGGCCTTACAACATGACGAGTCAATGACATGGCACTGTACGGCTCCAACATGCTATCCGCCAACGCGGCACAGTCTACAACTTGGAACATAAGGTATATACACCCATACAAGGCCTGATCCCCTTGTAGGATTGCCATCGTGCGACGCACATGTACTACATCCAAATCTCATGAGAGTGCCCCGCACTTTATTCATTGTTTCTCCTTGTCCGACTGCTGTCGCGCCTTCTGTGAACCTTGTCAGGGGCGAATGCAATACACGGCTCTTAGCCTATTCGCGACTCGATCCTAGATAGGGTTTGAGTTCGACTCATAGACTGAGTCTCTCGTGAATAGTCATTTGAGACAGGGTTGTCAATGACCGCCTAGTCAT